AAAAAAAAAAAAAAAAAATTCAGGGAAACTGGTTATTTTTATATAGCTGGACTTGAGTCCTGGAAATGGGAAGTACAATGCCTGCACTCTAAAGAAGGGGTTCGGGATATTAGCACTTTGGAGGGATGTGTTGTGTATCTTTACAGGTGTATGCTTCTAAGCTGTTGTGTTCTAAGCACCTCTGCAAAAACAGTGATTATGTGTGAGTGAGGTGAAAGTGTTGAATGATGATGAAAGTATTTTCTTTTTGGGGATTTTCTTTTCTTTTTGGGTCACCCTGCCTCAGTGGGAGACGGCCAAATTGTTGGGAAAAAAAAAATTATATACAACACACACACACACACACACACACACACACACTATATTATATACAGTAGGGACCCACTTATTCAGCAAGTTAGGTTCCAGGCTACTGCCGGAAAGCAGAACTCCATTTTTTTTCCATTTATAAATGCCAGAAAACATGTTTACACTATCATACATTAAGTTAACAATAGAACTAGGCATTAAAAAGTAAAATACACATACAATACACTCATTATTTACCTCAAAATATTTGTAATCTTAATGTTGGGCAAAAGGCAAGTAGTATTTACTCTAAGAAGTCAGGTGTGGTAGCCCTCCTGGCCACCCCACCCCCACATACTATACAACAATGCTCCAAGCTCCCTAGAGTGATAAAATGCACATACAGTACACGCATTACTTACCTTAAATTATTTGTAGTCTTAATGTAGGGTGAGGTGAGTTTTATTTGTATGAAGTCAGGTTGGGAAGTATGGGTAGTTAGGAAGGGCAGCCCTCCCCACCCCACACACAATGTAAACAAACCAGATGAACATGTCTGGCTGGTTTTTGTCAGAAGTCCTACAAGTTGCCTGGCTACCACATCTCATATTTATGTTAATTTATTCTACTGTGGGGTGTATTTAGATGGATTAAGCAAAATGTCTATATTAACATTTTACATGACATTTAATGCTCCTTAGTGATTATTATTGTGTTATTATTATTATTAACATGGCATCTTCAAGACTAATAAGACACTCTTAGTGATTTTAATGTGTACCTGCATGCCAGCACAGTGTGTAAGTTAACTTAAGTACAGGTACACATACGTATAATTATCAGTTATAATAATAATGTATGTATGTATGTATGTATGTAGTCCACCTGGGCTACATACCTACACCTACCTACATAGCTACACGATATTTAATGTGGTCCAGAGCCATACTATTACCATTGACATACCATGTTCACTGAGTTTAATCGTTTCTAACAACTACTTTTATACACCATCATAAACAAAGCGAGAAGTAATGAATAATTCAAGCAGAGAATTGTAAAAAAAAAGCGTTATGTATTAAGGGAGTGACGTAATGTTTTCCCTCCGCCCAGCTACCATACCTCCATAGTATATAAACAAAATGTATATATATTATGTAACGTGTTTCTTATACATTTTTGAAGAAAATATCATAGATGGATTAATGAAAATGTCTATATTGATGTAAAATTAGACATTTAATGTGTCCAAGAGTGATTATTACATAACAGAGATGGGCATATGGAGAATGTAAACAAACCGGGTAGCCTGCGCCATATTTCAAAGACCACTTGCCGTATAGAAAGTTTTGGTCATAATTTGAGATCGCCGTATTAGCGGAACCCCATAAGGCAAAACGCCGAAAAGCAGGGCCCTACTGTATATATATATATTATACACACACATGGGGAAGTGGAACAGAATTCTTCCTCTGTAAGCCATGCGTGTCATAAGAGGCGACTAAAATGCTGGGAGCAAGGGGCTAGTAACCCCTTCTCCTGTATATATTACTAAATTTAAAGGGAGAAACTTTCATTTTTCCTTTTGGGCCACCCCACCTCAGTGGGATACTGCTTGTGCGTTGAAAGATGAAAGAAGCACACACACACACACACACAACACGAGCGCACACGAGCGCACACGCACGCACACGCACGCGCACACACATGCACGCACACACACACACACGCACACAGACTATGTAGCAACAAAATCCAAGGAGGCAGAGGAGAGGTTTGTTCCCAAGGGAAACAGAAATAATGGGAAGAACAGAACGAGTCCTTGGTTCACCCAAAGGTGTAGGGAAGCAAAAACTAGGTGTACTAGAGAATGGAAAAGGTACAGAAGACAGAGAACTCAGGAAAATAAAGAGATTAGCCGAAGTGCCAGAAACGAATATGCACAGATAAGAAGGGAGGCTCAGAGACAATATGAAAATGACATAGCATCAAAAGTAAAGACTGACCCGAAGCTGTTGTACAGCCACATCAGGAGGAAAACACCAGTCAAGGACCAGGTAATCAGACTGAGGAAGGGTGATGGGGAATTCACAAGAAATGACCGAGAGGTATGTCAGGAGCTCAACACAAGATTTAAAGAGGTATTTACAGTGGAAACCAGTAGGACTCCAGGAAATCAGAACAGGGGGGCACACCAGCAAGTGCTGGATGAGGTACATATAACCAAGGAGGAGGTGAAGAAGCTGCTATGCGAACTTGACACCTCAAAGGCGGTGGGACCAGACAACATCTCTCCATGGGTCCTTAAAGAGGGAGCAGAGATATTGTGTGAGCCATTAACAAAGATCTTCAACACATTATTTGAAACTGGGCAACTTGAGGTATGGAGAATGGCAAATGTAGTCCCAATTTTTAAAAAGGGAGACAAGGCATGAGGCACTAAACTACAGACCTGTATCACTAACGTGTATAGTATGCAAGGTCATGGAGATCATCATCAGGAGGAGAGTGGTGGGGCACCTGGAAAGAAACAAGTGTATAACTGACAACCAGCACGGTTTCAGGGAAGGAAAACCCTGTGTCACAAACCTACTAGAGTTTAATGACAAGGTGACAGAAGTAAGACAAGAGAGAGAGGGGTGGATCGACTGAATATTTTTGGACTGCAAGAAGGCCTTCGACACAGTTCCTCACAAGAGGTTACTGCAAAAGCTAGAGGATCAGGCACACATAACAGGAAAGGCACTGCAATGGATCTGAGAATATCTGACAGGGAGGCAACAACGAGTCATGGTACGCGATGAGGTGTAAGAGTGGGCGCCTGTGACAAGTGGGTTTCCACAGGGGTCAGTCCTAGGACCTGTGCTGTTCTTGGTATATGTGAACGACATAACGGAAGGGATAGACTCAGAAGTGTCCTTGTTTGCAGATGATGCGAAGTTAATGAGAAGAATCAAATCGGACGAGGATCAGGCAGGACTACAAAGAGACCTGGACAGGCTACAAGCCTGGTCCAGCAACTGGCTCCTTGAATTTAACCCTGCCAAATGCAAAGTCATGAAGATTGGGGAAGGGCAAAGAAGACCGCAGACACAATATAGTTTAGATGGCCAAAGACTGCAAACCTCACTCGAGGAAAAAGATCTGGGGGTGTGTATAACACTGAGCATATCTCCTGAGGCGCACATCAATCAGATATCTGCTGCAGCATACGGGCGCCTGGCAAACCTACAGATAGCGTTCCGATACCTCAGTAAGGATTCGTTTAAGACTCTGTATACCATTTACGTCAGGCCCATACTGGAGTATGCAGCACCAGATTGGAATCCACACCTAGTCAAGCACGTCAAGAAATTAGAGAAAGTGCAAAGGTTATTTTCATATAGTCGGACTCGAGTCCTGGAAATGGGAAGTACAATGCCTGCACTTTAAAGGAGGGGTTTGGGATATTGGCAGTTTGGAGGGATATGTTGTGTGTCTTTATATGTGTATGCTTCTGGACTGTTGTATTCTGAGCACCTCTGCAAAAACAGTGATAATGTGCGAGTGTGGTGAAAGTGTTGAATGATGATGAAAGTATTTTCTTTTTGGGGATTTTCTTTCTTTTTTTTTTGGGTCACCCTGCCTCGGTGGGAGACGACCAACTTGTTGGGGGAAAAAAAAAAAAAAAAAAAAAAAAAAAAGCAAAGGTTTGCAACAAGACTAGTCCCAGAGCTATGGGGATTGTCCTACGAAGAAAGGTTGAGGGAAATCGGCCTGACGACACTGGAGGACAGGAGGGTCAGGGAAGACATGATAACGACATATAAAATACTGCGTGGAATAGACAAGGTGGACAAAGACGGGATGTTCCAGAGAAGGGACACAGACACAAGAGGTCACAATTGGAAGTTGAAGACTCAGATGAATCAAAGGGATGTTAGGAAGTATTTCTTCAGTCATAGAGTAGTCAGGCCGTGGAATAGCCTAGAAAGTGACGTAGTGGAGGCGGGAACCATACATAGTTTTAAGGCGAGGTATGATAGAGCTCATGGGGCAGGGAGAGAGAGGACCTAGTAGCAATCAGCGAAGAGGCGGGGCCAGGAGCTGTGACTCGACCCCTGCAACCACAAATAGGTGAGTACACACACAGATACACACACACACACACAGACACACACACACAGACACACACACACACACAAAACAGACAGAAAAAGACACCACAGACAAAAACAACAGACACACACACAGACAGACAAAACACACACACACACAAAAAAGACACACACACACACACACACAAACACACACACACAGACACACACACACAGACACACACACAAACAGACACAGACACACGCACACACACACACACACAGACACACACACACACACACAGACAACACACAGACACAGACACACACACACACACACTTGTACAAGCATGACCTAAGCATAAATAGAAGTAGCAAGACGTACTTGAAATCTTGCATGTTTACGGGGGGAGGAAGACACCAGCAATCCTACCATCATGTAAGAATTACTGGCTTCTGTTTTACACTCATTGACAGGATGGTAGTACCTCCCAGGGTGGTTGCTGTCTACCAACCTACTACCTAGAAAACAGCCGTTATATTAATAAAAATACAAAAATAGGAGCTTTTAATGCTATACTACTACTTTTTAGTTCAACTTGTGAATTGTATGCAATACCACATGAAAATAATTACCTGAAGAACTATAATAACATCGCCTGGCTCAACTCCTGGCATCTGATCACCTTCCCCACGAAAAGTAATTCGCTGTTCATCCTTCATCCCTTTATCTACATGTACCTCCAACAACTTTGTTTGTGGTGTAACCTTGCGACCCATACATACTTGGCATCGATCACGTTCGTTGATTACTTCACCTGGAAAATTGAAGAAAGACTATTTGCAATAATATAGCTTCTATACGGATAGATGGAAAGTACGTATAACAAAAATTGGTCAAATTACATCAATATTTCTCCATTGTATTAAATTTCCATAATATACATACAGTGGACCCCCGGTTAACGATAGTTTTTCACTCCAGAAGTATGTTCAGGTGCCAGTAATGACCGAATTTGTTCCCATAAGGAATATTGTGAAGTAGATTAGTCCACTTCAGACCCCCAAACATACACGTACAAACGCACTTACATAATTGGTCACATTCGGAGGTGATCGTTATGCGGGGGTCCACTGTACTTTGTTACAAATAATCATGGAGAATAGTTACAAAATTCTAGGCTGTTTAGCAATTCTATACCTCTACATTAATCTTCTCCATTCCAAAAGTTAAATCCTATTTACAAAACTCAATGTTTTATAGGTAATTCCAACTTGCTTAACCTTATAAATATAAATCATTATCTATAAATCACATTTTTAATGAAATGTTATACTACCTCATAGAGCAACTGTTTTTTTTTTTTTAGCAGACACAAATTATAAATATATCAAATTATAGGAATTCTATGGACCCTGACACTGGTTAAATTACAGTGCAATAAAAGAAGAAATCCTGTCTCCAATTCTAGTACACACATACGAGGTGCTACGCAGTGAAAAGAATAAGAGCAAAATTCAAACAATGGGAAAAAACAAAGCTCAAGTCATCGTACACTGTTATGGGACTCTGGGCCTAACTTACACATGCAGAAGACATCTTCACCTTCCCACAAATGAAACTTTATGGAAGTAATTCATTCACTTACCCAGATTTTGGCGATGGTGGCACTTATTCTTTTCTGATGCACAAAGCTTCATATATATAAAGAATAAAACTCCCATTTTATCTCCCCCCTCCCCATTCCTCATTTCTCAGCACTGATTCCTAACTAGTCCAAAAACTGTGGATACTAGTGAGAATGGGTAAACCCAGGCAACCTACATGCCCAAATCTTCAAACCAATAGACAAATGCCTAAATGACACATCTAATATCAATATTCAAGACGGTAACTAGATAAGTGGCAAGGCTGCTACTGATGACAACCATACCAAAGTAACAAACATTAAGGAAAAAAACAGACTGGGGGGAATACCTAGATAACATTGAATGAGAATTGACCAATTGACCTCAATCTTAACTGAGGGCTATGATAGGCAGACAAGAGTCAGGCAGGAAAAAAATGTTAATAGTATTGCACATTCCTAGACTGAGAAAGTCTAACACAAACAGAGCCAACTATCACACAAGCTGGAGTTAGGCCAGGGTAACAATCTGAATAACAGCATGGATAAAGTAACACCTGAACAACAAACCAAGTCACTGTGGGGGATGAAGTCAGAATGAACAAGAGTAACTATCAGGGGACACAACATGCAGTACAAAACCCTATTCTCATTCTAGTTTATATTAATAACCTGCATATGGTAACAGACTTCTACATAGAGATGACTAGCATATTGTGGAATATGAAGAGTGAAGAAAGCATGGGGAAAAATAAAGATACATTCTTGAAACCTCAATAACAAAAACATTTGTTTTTTTTTTTAATTTTTCAATTTGCCAAAAATGAAGTATTTGATACCTTGCAGTGTAGTTGTCATTGCTTTTTGATCTAGAAATGCATGAAGACAGTTGATGACCCTAATAGACATAGGATATAGAATGAGGATTAGAAAAAAAAATGCACATGTAGCTCAATAAGTTATGTAAACTTTTTCCTTACTTTAAAATGTGGTTGCCAGTGCATATTAATGTTGCAGTGAGAGGAAAGGGTTGCTGTGGCCCTACTGAACCAAAGTGCATGGCTGTGGTGGTTGTGTTAATGGTTGTGGATTCTGCGTCACGTTGATGCAGTATTATTATTTGAAGATTGAACTTAGGTCCTCAGGTATTTTGTAATGCTTTTATGTAAATGAACTGGTGATTCTCTAATAAAAAAGAGATAAGTTGTTCGATGACCTGTGTACCAACTTTAACCCTTTCAGGGTTTCAAACATACTGGTACAGTTTACGCACCAGGGTTTTTGACGTATGTACTATTTTATTATTATTATTTTTTTTTTTTTTTTTTTTTATTATCACACTGGCCGATTCCCACCAAGGCAGGGTGGCCCGAAAAAGAAAAACTTTCACCATCATTCACTCCATCACTGTCTTGCCAGAAGGGTGCTTTACACTACAGTTTTTAAACTGCAACATTAACACCCCTCCTTCAGAGTGCAGGCACTGTACTTCCTATCTCCAGGACTCAAGTCCGGCCTGCCGGTTTCCCTGAATCCCTTCATAAATGTTACTTTACTCACACTCCAACAGCACGTCAAGTATTAAAAACCATTTGTCTCCATTCACTCCTATCAAACACGCTCACGCATGCCTACTGGAAGTCCAAGCCCCTCGCACACAAAACCTCCTTTACCCCCTCCCTCCAACCCTTCCTAGGCCGACCCCTACCCCGCCTTCCTTCCACTACAGACTGATACACTCTTGAAGTCATTCTGTTTCGCTCCATTCTCTCTACATGTCCGAACCATCTCAACAACCCTTCCTCAGCCCTCTGGACAACAGTTTTGGTAATCCCGCACCTCCTCCTAACTTCCAAACTACGAATTCTCTGCATTATATTCACACCACACATTGCCCTCAGACATGACATCTCCACTGCCTCCAGCCTTCTCCTCGCTGCAAGTCATCACCCACGCTTCACACCCATATAAGAGCGTTGGTAAAACTATACTCTCATACATTCCCCTCTTTGCCTCCAAGGACAAAGTTCTTTGTCTCCACAGACTCCTAAGTGCACCACTCACTCTTTTTCCCTCATCAATTCTATGATTCACCTCATCTTTCATAGACCCATCCACTCCCAAATATCTGAATACGTTCACCTCCTCCATACTCTCTCCCTCCAATCTGATATTCAATCTTTCATCACCTAATTTTTTTGTTATCCTCATAACCTTACTCTTTCCTGTATTCACCTTTAATTTTCTTCTTTTGCACACCCTACCAAATTCATCCACCAATCTCTGCAACTTCTCTTCAGAATCTCCCAAGAGCACAGTGTCATCAGCAAAGAGCAGCTGTGACAACTCCCACTTTGGTGTGATTCTTTATCTTTTAACTCCACGCCTCTTGCCAAGACCCTCGCATTTACTTCTCTTACAACCCCATCTATAAATATATTAAACAACCACGGTGACATCACACATCCTTGTCTAAGGCCTTCTTTTACTGGGAAAAAATTTCCCTCTTTCCTACATACTCTAACTTGAGCCTCACTATCCTCGTAAAAACTCTTCACTGCTTTCAGTAACCTACCTCCTACACCATACACTTGCAACATCTGCCACATTGCCCCCCTATCCACCCTGTCATACGCCTTTTCCAAATCCATAAATGCCACAAAGACCTCTTTAGCCTTATCTAAATACTGTTCACTTATATGTTTCACTGTAAACACCTGGTCCACACACACCCCTACCTTTCCTAAAGCCTCCTTGTTCATCTGCTATCCTATTCTCCGTCTTACTCTTAATTCTTTCAATTATAACTCTACCATACACTTTACCAGGTACACTCAACAGACTTATCCCCCTATAATTTTTGCACTCTCTTTTATCCCTTTGCCTTTATACAAAGGAACTATGCATGCTCTCTGCCAATCCCTAGTACCTTACCCTCTTCCATACATTTATTAAATAATTGCAACCAACCACTCCAAAACTATATCCCCACCTGCTTTTAACATTTCTATCTTTATCCCATCAATCCCGGCTGCCTTACCCCCTTTCATTTTACCTACTGCCTCACGAACTTCCCCCACACTCACAACTGGCTCTTCCTCACTCCTACAAGAGTTATTCCTCCTTGCCCTATACACGAATCACAGCTTCCCTATCTTCATCAACATTTAACAATTCCTCAAAATATTCCCTCCATCTTCCCAATACCTCTAACTCTCCATTTAATAACTCTCCTCTCCTATTTTTAACTGACAAATCCATAGTAGGTTGGTAGACAGCAACCACCCAGGGAAGTACTACCGTCCTGCCAGATGACTGTGAAACAAAAACCTGTAACTGTTTTGCATGATGGTAGGATTGCTGGTTTCTTTTTCTGTCTCATAAACACGCTAAGATAACAGGGATATCTTGCTACTCCTACTTACACTTTGGTCACACTTCACAGACACGCACATGCATATATATATATACATACATCTAGGTTTTTCCCCTTTTTCAAAATAGCTTTTTCTTTTTTATTTTTTCTATTGCCCCTGGGGAAGGGGAAAAAAAAGAATCTTTCCTCCGTAAGCCATGCGTGTCGAATGAGGCACAAAAAATGCCGGGAGCAATGGGTTTAAGGTAACCCCTTTTTCCTGTATACTTTTACTAAAAAAAGAAAGAAAAACTTTAAAAACGGGTTGCTTAAATGTGGTGGATTAGGGCGGATGAAAAAGGGAAACCCGATGTTTGTTTGATGTTTAAATGAAAAAGAAGTTGGATGTCCGGGCCCCCTAAGCGAAAAAAAAGCTGAAGGGGGTAGAGGGGGTTTTCAGTGGGGGAAAAATAAAGGGGGTTTAAAATCGGGATTCGGGGAGATTTAGAAAAAGGGAAAAGGGGTAGCGTAATGTTAAATGATCAGTTATGGAAGGAGAAAAGAGAAAGGGAATGTGTAAATTAAAGGGAAATTATGTGGATTAAAGTAAAAGTGGATGGAAAAAGGAAGTGGGTCATAAAAAAGGTGTTTTGGCACCGGGGAAAAAAGGGGAAAATGCGGGGGGAGAGAGAGTTTTGGGGGGAAGATGTTAAGTGAATGAAAAGGGAGTTTGAACCAAGTGAGGGTAATTGTGGTGGGGGGACCTGAATGCTAAAGTAGGAGAAATTTTTTAAGGGGGGTGGTGGTGGGTAATTTGGGGTCCCGGGTTTTAAAT